TTAGGGACTCTGGCAGAGACTGAGGAGTTTGGCTTTGATTCAACTAAAACATGGGCAGCCCTTACTGGTTTGGCTTAGTTGGTTCGGTGTCATCCCGAGCACCAAACAGTTGCCAGTTCGATTCCCAGTTAGGACTCATGCCCAAATTGCAGGCTTGATCTCTGGTAGGGGGTGTGCAAGAGGCAGCTGACTGATGTTTCACTCATGTGCATATTTTTTTCTCTCTCTAAAAATCAATAAACTATTTATTTATTTATTTACTTATTTCTTATTGATCCTCACCAAAGGATACTTTTCCATTGATTTTTAGATAAAGAGTAGAAAGGAGGGAGAGAGAGAGAAACATCTATGTGAGAGAGAGACATCAATAGGTTGCTTCCCACATGACCCTGACCGAGACTAGGGATCAAACCTGCACCCAAGGTAGGTGCCCTTGACCAGAATCAAAGCCGAGACCCTTCGGTCCTCAGGCCGACGCTCTAACCACTGGCCAGGGCAATAAACCATTTTGTTTTTTAAATGGACACAGGACCTGAATAGACACTTCTCCAAAAAGGACACACAGATGGCTAACAGACATATGAAAAAATGTTCAATGTCACCAATCATCAGAGAGATGCAAATTAAAACTACAATGAGGCATCACCTCACACCTGCCAGAATGGTTACCATCAACAAATAAACAAATAACAAGTGCTGGCGAGGATGTGGAGAAAAGGGGACTCTTTGCTGGTGGGAGACAGACTGGTGTAGCCACTATGGAAAACAGTGTTGAGTTTCCACAAAACATTTAAAAATGGAACTGCTGTTTGACCCAGGGATTCCACTCCTGGGAACATATTCTAAGAATCCCAATCAGAAAGGATAAATGCACCCTGCACCCCTATGTTCACAGCAGCATTATCTACAATAGCTAAGATCTGGAAACAGTCCAAGTGTCCATCAGTAGATGAGTGGATAAAAAAAGCTGTGGTACATTTACACAGTGGAATACTATGTGGCTATAAAAAAGGATTTATTACCCTTTGAGGCAGCATGAAGGGACCAGGATATTATTATGTTAAGTGAAATAAGCCAGTAAGAGAAAGACAAATCTCACATGATCTCACTTATATGTGGAATATAATGAACAAAATAAACTGATGAACCAAACAGGCCCAGAGGCATGGATGCATGGAATAGACTGACAGATCTCAGAGGGTAGAGGAGTGGAGGAGATGGAAAGAGATTAACCAAAGAACTTTATGCATATACACATAGCTCATGGACACAGACAATAGTGTGGTGAAGGCCTGGGGTGGGGCAAAGGCTGGGTGGAGGGGAGCAAAGGGAGGGAAAACGGGGAACATGTATAATACTGTGAACAATAAAAATACTAATTATTTTTTAAAAGAAAGCAAAATTTACCCACAAATCCTGAAACTAACTACTGCACTCAAAGACAAAAAAAAACAAACAATTAACTTGAGGAGTATCTCTCTGAAGGTTCCTTACTAATAATTTTTAAAGTGTATAGAAAAAAAAATTGGATGGCTTTTTAAAATGTACTAACTGCATGATTTTCAAGGAATGACTATTTTAAATTGTGACTCCAGTACACTTGATTATGGATTTTGAATAAATCTATTCAATGTCAGTATATTAATAATGTAACACCATCCAAAGTATGCCATGTGATGTTATTAGATGTTATTCAGATAAAGAGTTCTGTGGCAGTTTTAAAACACTACATTTCTTTCCCATAGGATTACTCAGACCCTTTAAAAAACTAATAATAGGAGTTTAGAGACCTCAAAAAATGGGACTTTATTCAGTATTTCCCTGCTTGTGTGACCATCAAATGGACTAACATTTTATGGAACACAGTTTGATGAATTCTGTATCGAGGTTGATGAGAAATCTATAATATAAACAGGACATGAGATGCTTTCAATGGGTCAAGTTTTACTATAACAGACACCCCATACAATGAACTCTTGAGCATTTTAAAACATTGATCATCTCTAAACAGTGGATAAGCTTCAAAGAGTGGTTCACATGAGAAAATCCTTTAAAATGAAAAAAAATTTTTTTTTAATATTTCTTAATTTGGCCATGATATAGTACACTGTCTTTATTTCTGCTTTGACTAACACGGCAGAAGAGTGAGTGGGGGAAGTATAAGTCAAAAAGAAGTGGAGGAAAGAAAAAAATCATTTACAAAATTGATTTCTTAGCTACATCAAGAAATTTCTATTGAATTGGACTCTCTCTGCATGCTATGAAATGTTTCTCAGCAGGTTTAATTACAGTATTCTAAATGATTATAAATTGCAGAATCTATAGAAATATACAAGACTGATAGAGACTTTGAAAAAATCCTCTTGGGAAAACTATTATAAGAAAATATACAGATGGTGTAACCTGAGTGACTACAGAGGCAATAATAAAATTAACAGGAGCAAAAGTGAATTAAGTTACCTTCTCCCTTGAGTACAGAGTTATTCTACTCCAACTCCCAGCACTGTAAAGCAATCTCAATTGTTCAATTTAAATTTATGCTCACTCACTAACTCACATTGTTTAGGCTGTCATGCTGGCAGTAAATGTCCATATTCACAGTGAGAACCAGGTAAACACTTTAGTATCAACAAATTATAATGATGACACATTTTCATAAGTGATGACACATCTCTGTGAGGGCTATCATCACCTCTTGAGTGAGACCAGTGCATTATGGCTACTTGGCATGGGGATGCTGGTGACAGGGAGCCAGTACTGCCTAAGCATGCACAGACTGTAGGGCCATGTACTGGGTGCTTGAAAGTTCATGATAAAGATCAGCATCCCCATCTTGTGGGAGTATCATCAGCAAAAAGCATTTATTATCACACAGAATTGGAATTTGACTGTGACCCAAGTCAGAGATCAAACACTAGCTGGCTATTAATTCAGTGTGGTGGAAGAATATGAAATAATCTTTCCTAACACACATGAAAGTATATCAAATAAAAAGAGGGAGTATAAAGAACCTAAAATGAACATTAGAGACAAAAATTGTATATAGTAAAATGTCAGCACTAAAAATGAAAAAGAAAATTGGAATGGCTTTTGCTGGAAAAAATATTTTTTGTATATTTGAGAAAAGACATTCATAGTCTTCTAGCTACTAAAATTTTTAATGTAACTCATGGCAACACAATATTTCTTTAGTAAATGTGAAAATAATAAATCTTTAATCAAAAATTATACTTGATAGTAATGAAAGGTTTTTAAAGATGCATCTTCTTTCTCTTGACCAAGGGTACACATTTATGACATGACTGGCTGGAGTTGAGATACAATCTGGGCCCGTACAGATCCAGATCAAAGCTAATTGGACTCTGTGGAAAATGAACTCATGACCTAGACCTCATTAGTCATGATCTAACCAACTGAGCTAATGGGCCATATAAAATACATGCTGGCACGAGGTATTTACTTTGAATCATTTCTGGGCTTAAATGGACCATATAATTTTAGAGTCAACTTTAGAGATGTTGTTTTTCCAAGGTTTTGTAAATAAATTGACTCAATGATCACACATTCACCTATTATGTGGAAGACCTTAAGGCCAGTGGTGGGGTATTTTAAAAATGCACAAGGCAATATACAGAATTCAGAGTCTAAATAGGAGAGAAAAAATGTAAAAAAATAACTATAGGACATAATTTTACAGCAGTAACTAATATTCAATTTTTACTATTTCTCAGATATTCTACAAAGCACTTTTGATAAGCTAACTATATCCATTTCATAGGCTTAAAAAAAGGGAACCAGGTTGTATAACTTTCACAAAGTCACATGCTAGTAATCTCTCCATCCCGCCTTGGACCAATGATAAATGACTGTGATAGATACTGTAGAGTTAACCCTCTAAACATGCATTCCAAGTATCCTTTTCCCTTGCTGCCTTCTAGCATATAGACATGCAAGCTACAAATTCTCATTCCCAGATTCCCATTAGTCTACTAATGATTAATAGGCGACATAGTTATGGCCAATGAAATAAAAGCAAAAGGGAGCTAGGAGTTTCTGAGAAAGTCTTTTTCTGTGTGTGTGTGTGTGTGTGTAAATATATATGTTTTTATATATCATGTGTATATATACATGTACATTGTTATATATAATGTGATATATATAATCTTTTGTGATATATATTATACATAATATATACATACTCTAGAAAGCAAGATGAGGAAAGGTGAAAAAAGGTTTCTTTCTACAAAGCAATCATCTTTATTTAATAATCTTTGATATTTAAAATACAAGGCAAACATCCACATTTACAACAGAGTCCTCAGCATTCAGCAGTGCTTTAGAAGCTGTTTTCCTCAGGACCAGACCGGAAGGCCTGTATGTATAATCATGGCAAAAAAATCTCGCAGAGCGGTGCACACACAGAAGGGCTGCAGCTGGGTCCTGAGCAAATGACACTACCACAGTACACTTGTCTCAAGGCCAAGAGACAATGCTTTTTTATTTCAGATGTTTTCTGTACTCAAATTTCAAATAGTTTATACAGAACAGTAATTAAAAAAAACTTACTCCTAGTAGTCCAGTGTTGTAGAAATTAATCATATTTCAAATGTATGTTTTCCTCTTTCAAAAAAAAAGCAGTGAAAAAAATTCCTGGAAGCATTCCCTTTTGAACTATGCAAAAGACAAGTGAAGTGCTTCTTACATTAATCATGAATTTCCACACATATTTTTTTATATTTGGATTTTGTTAGTATATACCTATATACACAGTCCAATTATTCATATACTATACATATATTATATATAGTCCCATTCTACATTGTGCAAATCACTAGCGTAATGTGGTGCAAATATAAAACAAGCCTTATTGGAGAAAATCTTACAAGCTGACATATAGCAGAGGGAGCATAGCTGGACTGGATACACCATGGAAATTGCTCCAGTAGAAGACCTCTGGCCTCAAGCGGGAGAATTAAAAAGACTCCCACACATAAACTTACATTGCTCCATTGGTATAGACAGTATCGCTTCCTTCCACATACTGCACCTGAGCTGGATAGACATGCTGTACCTGTTGCACAGTCTGTACCTGCTGTACCTGCAAAACAAATAAAATAGTAGGACCTTGGTAAGAGGTAGATATGAAAAAATAAATAGCATTAGATTTACCTCAAAGATTTCTCTGGGGTGTTGATGCATGTGAGAGAGGCTTATGATATGATCCTTAAGATCCTTCAAGATAAGTGCATGTTGGTTGGGTCCAAATCAACTGCAGCAATTAGGCTGAATAAATTCTATAACATTTCTGCTGACACACACACACACACACGCGCGCGCGTGCGCACACACATATATATTACACACTTAAATGTTTAAGGTGGAAATTCTGAAAGCTTGCCACTTATTTTGACAATTTATGATATTCTCTACCTCTAGGCTGTTAAAGCTAAATTTATTTATATTTTAATTTGAAAATTTATGATGGAAAATTTCAAACACTTAAATATTAAATAAATACTATAATAACCCTTATGTATTCATCATCCAAGATAAACAGCCTCCCCTTTCAACCCTTCACAGTATTATTTAAAGGCAAGCGCAGCCCTAGCCAGTGTGGTTCAATTCCTGGTCAAGGCGCATGCCCGGGTGATGGGCTTGATCTCCAGTAGGGAGCATGCCAGAGGCAGGCGATCAATCTTACACTCTTACAAGGATGTTTTTCTGTCTCCTCCTCTCTTCAACAATCAATAAACTATTCTTTAAAAAATAAAATAAAAGCAAGGGCAGAGATTATATCATTTCATTGGTAAATATTTCATTTTGTTTCTAAGAGATAAGAACTATTTTTAACACGAACAAAATATTAATATCACATATAAAATATAAATAATTCCTTAAAGTCATCTAAAATCCAGTCATTGTTCAAAATTCTATGATTATTTCAATAATTCTATGATTATTCCTACTTTTAGATGGTTTGTTCAAACAAGGATCCAAACAAGGTCTACATACTATTACATTTGTATTTTTTCTACCTTTCTCCCTTTCTTCTTTTAATCTCTAACAGTTTTCCATTCTTTTTATTTCATGACTATTATTTATTAAAGAAACTGGATCATTTATCGTGTAGAATTTCTGAAATTCTAGCTTTGCCTGATAGCATCCTTGAGATCGACTTGAATATATGTTCCTGTGTCTCCTGTATGTCATATTATCTGGTAGTTAGACCATAGGCCTTGAACAAGATCAAATTTGGAAAAGTTGTATACTTCCCATCACATCATATCAGTTGCCATGTAGCGACCAGTTGTCTCTCTTTCTGCAGTGTTATCAGTGGGGTCAGGTGTTGTCAGTTGGATCTATTTATTATGATGCTTCCTATCCATGTTTTTTACCTGAGGATGTTAGTGACCAATGAAGATCATTTTTTAGAAACAGTATTTCAATTAATAAAGGTTGCAAACTCTAATAGTCTAATTCTGTTATACATTTAAAAATCCTTTAAAATCATTTAAAAATGTAGTTTTTAGTTTGTTTGGGTTGGTTTGTATCCTTATGATTCTTGGCTTTTGAACATATTTGATGTTTTTCAATCATAGAAAATTTTTCTTCTGAAACTGTTCATCTTTGACAAATTGTAATCCCTTCAAATTGAATACTGTTTCTTTTCACATGACCACAGTAATCTTTAGCTTCCCTGCTTTCTGACATAAGATATTCCAGATATATCTCTTATATTTCTTGTCCTAGATCTGGAATTAACCATTTCTTCAAAGAGCCTGGCTCCTATTAGTAAGGAGTAATATAAATATGAAAACTGTTTAGGAAGGCAATTTATAAGTAGGCATACTATTTGACCACTTTGTAACTTCCTCTACAGAAATATTTAACATCCAAGGAGTCGTTGTAAAATATTATCAAATAATGCAGTTTATAAGAGTAAATAGTTAGAAGGGGAAACCTTAATGACTATTAAAAGTAGAGAGTAACTAAATAAATTATAGGAAGACTATTCTGTACAATACGTGGCTGATGTTAAAAGAAAAAAGTAAAATGGTATATACTTTAACAAGATTTCTAAGACATAATCAAGTGAAAAGGTTTCAGAACAATACTTATAGTGTGATTTGCTTTGTTTAAAATTATGTATATAGTACATATATGTGCATATAACTATATATAAATAAAAAGGAGAATAGAAGGAAGTACATCAAACTTCTGAAATGAATACTCTGTTGAGTGATATGAAGTGAGACAGAAGAGGTGAGGTGACTAGTATCTTTTATTCTACATACATCATTCCTGTATTTTTAAAGTGAAGACAAATTCATATATTATGTACATGATATATAAAATATATAAATCAACAAATGGAAGGACTTCAACTTCTGGCCATGATGGAGTAAATACTACTGGAAATGCTCTCCATACATTAAACAAGTAGAAAAGTGGACAAAAGATGTAAAAATAATGTTTTTAGTCATTCAGCAAAAGGCATCATAAGATTGTGGTGCTTAAGAAAAGGAAAACAAACAAGGTAACCTAACCCTACAATATTAGTGGTTTTTGACATGGAATCATTTTACAGACTACAGAGCAGGACGGGAGACACCAAGAGGAATATCATGACCTGTCTGAGGTAAGGAGACAGATCCTGAAATTTGGGAGGCTGAGGCAGCTGAAAATTGGGGGCAGTATCAGAAAGGGCATTAAGCCTAGAAATAGATCTAGAAATATTCATACAGATCTCCTTGAGTCCATGCTGAATACAAAGCTGCACAGGTGTACTGCGTGAGATACGCACATGAGATATTCAAATTCTGACCACAATTATATGACCTTATTGAATACCCTTGAGCATTCTATAGAAACATCAGAACGATAAAGCATTAGTACTATGGCTCAACTAGCTCTAGAGTAAAGACTATTTTGCCCTGGCCAGTTTGGCTCAGCGGTTAGAGCATCGGCCTGCGGTCCAGAGAGACCCGGATTTAATTCTGGCTAAGGGCGCGTACCTCAGTTGCAGTTTGTCCCGGGCCCTGGTTGGTCGTGCGGGTGGCAGCCACTCGATGTGTCCCTTTCACGTCGATGTTTCTCTCTCTCTCTCTTACTCTCTCTCCCTTCCACTCTATCTCTACAAAAAATGGAAAAATGTCCTCGGGTGAGGATAAAAAAAAAAAAAAAAGACTATTTTAAGTCCATCCTAATAAAGCTAAAAGATAAGCCTTAAAGTGATCAAAGTGATCTACAAGTAACTTAACAGCTTATATCAAAAAAAAAAAAAAAAAAAAAATTAACACTTTTAAAGAAAGATAGCAAAACCCTGACATAAAAAAATGTAAGAATTATAATGTCCCTTACCCAATAAACATTATTAGACAAGTGAAGAAGAAGAAAATTGTGATCTATAACCAGGATACATATATAGAAATGAAAGATATATGAAGTAGTAGACAAGAGACTTTAAAACAACTATTTTAAATAGACCTAAGACCTAAGAAAACACAAATATGATGAGAAAAAAATAAATTATAAAGAACTAAGTAGAATTTGTAGAGTTGAAAAATACAATATGTGAAATGAAAAATTCACTGAATGGGATTAAAAGCAAATTACCTAATGCAGAAAAAAATGACCAGTCATTTTGAAAATCTAGCAATAAAAACAATCTGTCACGAGTAACAAACAAAAACAAAAAATGAGGAATAGAGAATTAGTGAATTATGGGACAGTATCAAGTCAAACATGTTGTAAGTAAAGTCCCAGAGGACACGACAAAGATCAGACAACATTGAAGAGTTTTACTAAAAACTTTTCCAAATTTGGTTAAAAGTATAAACATACAGATCTAAGTGCAATGTATACAAATGTATAGACACAACCACATCAAAGAGCATCATAATCGAAGTGCTACAAACCAAGAATAAGGAGAAAAATTTTAAAGCAAACAGAAAAGGGACACATTATATACAGGGCAACAACTATTATAATGATTACAAACTTCCCCATCACAAATAATATCAGCCCAAGACAATCAAATAATATGTTTATAGCCATGAAAAGAAAAAAAATGGCAACCTAGAATTGTATAACCAGTAAAATGTCCTTCAACAATCCAGGGGACCTTCTCAGACAAACAAAAGCTTAGATAATTCTTCTCCAGCAGACCTCCAATGAAGGTAACAACAAATACATTTCTCAGGCTGAAGAAAAATAATACCAGATAAAAACCGAGATCTATATAAAGAAATTAGGGTCACAAGAAATGATAAGTTTGTAAGAAAATTAAAGGACTTTTTTCATTGTTTTCTCATCATTTCTATATAGATATTTGACCAAGTAAAGTAAAAATAACAGCAACATATAACAGAGTTTACCGCATTTATAGATGTGAAATGTATGTATGACAAAAATAGCAAAACAAAGGAAGAGGAAAATGAAAATACATTTTGTAATATTCTTATATGTTAAGTGGTATAGTATTACTTGAACACAGGCTGTGTTGAATTAAAGATATAAACTAAAAATCCTAGTACAGACACTAAATAGAAAAGAATAGAAAACAGTGAAAATAAAATGTAATACTACAGTCCTGTCCAGTTTGGCTCAGCAGTTAGAGCGTCGGCCCCCAGACCGAAGGGTCATAGGTTTGATTCTGGCCAAGGGCACATACCGGGGTTGCAGCTTCCCTGGCCCCGGTTGGGGTCCTGTGGGAAGCAACTAATTGACATGTCTCTTTCACATTGATGTTTCTCTCTCCCTCTCCCTCTCCCTCTCCCTCTCCCTCTCCCTCTCCCTCTCCCTCTCCCTCTCCTTTCCACTCTATCTAAAAATCAATGGAAAAAAAAATATAATACTACAATATACTCAATAAATCAAATGGAAGGCAAAAACAGAGAAAATAAAAGAAGGAAAAAATGGGAAAAATAGAAAACAAGGTGCTAGAATTAAATGCAATATTGATAATTATATTCAATATTAAATATTTATTGTTAGAATGGGTAAAAATGTGAGCTCCAACTGTATGCTCTCCACAAGAACATACTTTAAATACACAGATAGAAAGATTAAAAATAAAATGATACAGAAAAGCTTTGC